TTAGCCTCTATCTGATAGGTTCTTAATAACATAAACCTGAGTTAGCCTCTATCTGATAGGTTCTTAATAACATAAACCTGAGCTAGCCTCTATCTGATAGGTTCTTAATAACATTAACCTGAGCTAGCCTCTATCCGATAGGTTCTTAATAACATAAACCTGAGCTAGCCTCTATCTGATAGGTTCTTAATAAATAAACCTGAGCTAGCCTCTATCTGATAGGTTCTAAATAACATAAACCTGAGCTAGTCTCTATCTGGTAGGTTCTTAATAAGATTTTTGCTACTTTTTATTATAGAATCTTGATGGAAATTTTTCTGATTAATGAGAAGATTTGGAGAGGAGGGATTATATCCACTCTCTTAAAGGTGGCATCTATCTGGATTGTACTCACATTGTTTTCAGAATATCACATTTATTTATGAAGACATCTTAATAAAAAGTACTCTGATAGAAAATGACTAATCTTGCTTCTGGTACAACTATTTTGAAGTCTAATGTAAGTGGTGAAAATTAAGTCTATTTTTTGTGAAAAACAACAACATCAGTTTACCTTGTTATAAACAAATTTATGTTCACTAGAGAGACCCCCCACCCCCACCCCTCAGTGGCTCAGCAGTAAGTCTGCTGGCTTGTAATGCTAAAAATTGGGTTTCACAACAAATGGTAGAGAGAGCACAAATAAGCTCATTGCATAGCTTTGTTATTTAATAACACATTCGTTTACTGGTTTATGTATTATTATTTACTATATATTCAAAAGTGGTTTTGTTTGTTTGGAATTTCGTGAAAAGCTACTCAAGGGCTATCCGTACTAGCCAACCCTAATTTAGCAGCGATAGATAAAAGGGAATGCAGCTGGTCAACAACACCCACCTCCAAATCTTGGGCTACTCTTTTTACCAATGAATAATTGAACTGACCATCACATTATAACACCCCCCCACAACTAAAGGGGTAAGCATGTTTGGTGATGGGGATTCGAAAACATGACCCACAGATTGTGAGTCAAGTGCCCAAGCCACCAGGTCATGCCAGGCCTATCCAAAATGTACATCTCATTTAATCATTGAGCAGAGTTAGTCTACTAAAGTGTTTAAAATCGATGTTAGATATAGTTTGAATTATGGACAAAAATATTGTTACGTCTCCGTTTGTTAATTGATTTTCCGTAACTTCGTTCTGACGAAACTTTAGCGACACAAGTTCTTATTTAATAAAACTGGTTTATT